TTTCATCTCTTTCTCCCTTTCTCCTTCTCTCTTTCTCCCTCTTTCTCCCTTTTTCTTTCATCTCCCTTTCTTTCTCTCTCTCTTTCTCCCTCTTTCTCTCTCATCTCCCTCTCTTTCTCCCTCCCGCTCCCTCCCTCTCTCTTTCTCTCTCTCCCCCAGTTCCCTGGCTACACAAACTGTTGCCAGGAGATGAACCAAGGGAAGAGGAGAGCACAGCCTTCTGTAGCCCTCCCCACATGGCTCCTGAACTGACCCCTGTGACAGAGGGAGACCGAGAGCAGGAAGCTGAGCTTTGGATTACTGTAGGCATTAAAGTACCCAGCGGCAGTGCTTCCTTAGCCACGACTGCCGGGGCCGAGAGAAAAGATATCGGGCTCCGCCCCCACAAAGGGGAACAGCAGTGATCACAGACAGCCCCGGCTGGCTGGGAAGAGGGACCCTCCTCCTGTCTCCCCAACTTTCCCCCCAGTCACTGCCTCCTTACTTTTCCCCTCAGTCACAAGGCTAACCAATTGCCCTGAGAATGCGGCTCCTCCTGTACATGGAGAAGAGGCGCTGAGAGACGAGGCAGGAAGGTAGAAGGGACTTTATACCATTTCAGACAAATGGTTGTCCAGTCTCTTCTTATAAACCTCCAGTGATGAAGCACCCACTACTTCTGAAGGCAAATTGTTCCACTGGTTTATTGTTCTCACTGTCATGACATCTCTCCTTAATTCCAGGTTGCTTCTCTCCTTGATTAATTTTCATCCATTGCCTTATTAAAAACCTCCACTGATGGAGCACCTCAACTTCTGGAGGCAAGTCGTTCCACTGATTAATTGTTCTCACTGTCTGGAAATACCTCCTTAGTTCTACCTTGCTTTCTCCTTGCCATCAGTTCTTCTTGCTATGTGACTGGCCCATTTCCATTTCAATTCTTTTACTCCCTTGATGGCATCGTACGCTTTCATTTGTCTTCTAATCCATGAGTGGGTCTTTCTATCTTGCCTCGTGATGCCGAACGTATATCTTTCCATGGCTCTTTGCATCCCTTGTAGCTTCTGTATAAGTTGTGTGGTTAGCATCCATGTTTCGCCAGCATAGGTTAGATCAGAACCTATATGGCCACACATCTCATACAATAATTCTAGGTGGCCACAGCAACCAATTAAAAACAGAGCTATAAATAAAGCTGTCCTTCCTACCAGAGTGTTCTGTCCTCACTGCACGTTACTTTGTGTGTAATTCAACATGCAGCTAAAGCTACCTATCCTCACATAAAAAAGACCGTGTGCGTAGATCTGAATGCTTTATTGAAAGAACAGGATATGGAGAAACTGAGGAAAACATGGATATGTACAATGAGAACCAAATACAAGATAGACAGTATTGAGTTACTGCTGAACACAATAATTAATAAATATAAGCAATTTAAATCTCACCAGCGATGCTCTGTGTGGGGGGTGTGGGTTTGTCCTTGGATAACCATGTACCACAAATTAAGGTGGATTCTTCTTTGTGCTTCTGTCTTCTCAAATGCTAAAGGAAGTGGAGTTTGGCTTCCCAGTATGCACTTGCTTTGAGACTAAATGGGTTGATGGGTAAATGGGTTGGGTCAGTTTCAACAAGTATACTTAGTATTTTGTCTCTCTGGCCATTAGATGGGGCTAAAGTGCAACATCAGTATATAAAGATCATATGTTGGGGCATATTTGTACCTCCAGCCACTAGATGGAGCTAGAGAGCAACAACAGTATATAAAAGTTATATGCTGGGGCATGACACAGAGTAAACAGTGCCTTAGAACAATCTCCATGCAAAGCCAACACTAGGATGTATCCGAAGTCAGATCATTTGAGCCTCATCATTTCTCCCTTGAGTGAGAACTTTGGTTTGAGTTGATTGTTCATCCTTTGCTTTGATTGCTTGGCTGTCCCCAATATTCTCAAGAGTTTTTATTTGTTTTTGTTATCAATACCCTATTTCAAAAGCATCAATATTGTTTCTCTCCTCTTTCTAGAATTAGAGGAAACTAAAACAAGAAAAATCATCTCATGCCAGTTATTAGTAGAATCATGCCTCCCAATTTCCTACACAGGATGGGAGTAATTAATAATTAATAATTGCCCTAATTAAATCATGAGCCTCAAGCCAAGCTTCAAAAAATCTCAAAATATTTATTAGGAGCAACATGCTAGCATTAACCTAAATGAAGCCAACTCTGGTATATGTAATTTACAGTCACCTCCAACTCTGTTTCCCCTTTTCCCCCAAGTGTATCATCAATCAGATTCTCCAAGGAAGCACCTTCATGGGCTGCGTGTCATCAATCATGTTCTCCAATGAAGGATTTTCGTGGGCAGAAGATCCGGTAGCCTAGGTGCAATCTTTTTAAGATAAGGGTGGAATGTCCTTCTGGTTTGAAACGGCCATACTTCTCCTTCAAATCCCTCCCCCCTTGTTTATGGTAACTTGAAAATAGTTATAGGAATGTTTTACAAGTTGACAATAACGTTATATTTTCAGATTTTGAGGACATTCTGTTTTAAAAGCTATCTTACAGTGTAAATGAAAAAATAAATATTGGCTTCTGGTTGGGCAAATATTGGCTGTGTTGGTGCAGAGCTGAGGAGCGGATTGCCACTCTGAATGATTCCGATTTTTGCTAGTTGGTGGCTTTTTGGAGCGTGCCGGATCCCAGAGGGATAGGCAAAAGAAAGGGGAAGACACAGAGGTCTTGTGGAGGTGCCACAATCCTGGAGACTAGAAGAAGAACCCCTTGAAAACCAATGGCAGAAGAGGGAGATCGTGACAACTGTGACGATCGGAACCAGAGACGCAGCAACCCAGCCGACTAAAAGAAGCGAAAAGAGAGAAACAGCAGGCTGAGCACTGGAAAGGTGTATTTAAAGAAGATCTTCAGAATATTGCTGTATACTGTAAAGAAAGCTCTGAACTGAGTGGTGTGGCAAAGCAGCGGAGTTTTTGACAGGAGCGCTGACTGAAACAACGGCAGAGATTTATGCTGACTAATGGAATCATGAAAACTGAGGAGACGAATAGTGAGGTAACAACATTTGCTTTGTGAGTGGAGGAGTGAACTATAGAACTTTATTGTCCATTTATTTGAGAAGTGGGGAAAGAAAGAAAAAGAAGTGAAAGTGATTAAGTGTTATAGCAAAACAAAAGAACAATTAAGAGTGTAAAACTTGGGAACAAACTTTTACTGCATTGAAAGATTGGAAGAAGGACTGGGGAAAAGAAACTTTAATTTGATAAATATTAATAGACAATCCTGACAACAAAATAAGAAAGACTTATTTAAGGTTCATAAGTGAAACTGACTGTGTGGAAATAAAAGAACAAAAGAACAACAAGAAAATACACCAATGGAGAAAGTGACAGTGCAATTTGGAACGAGGATATTTTGAATTAAGACCTGATGTAAGACAATTAACAAAAAAAATCACTGGATCTGATTTAATAGATATTGGTAAGATACAAATCTATTTCAGTGATGTTGGTAGAAAATTAATTTGATAGAGGTAAATATACTAGAAATGTGTATATAGAATATTGCTTAATGCTGATTGAAATTTTTGAATTAATTATATAATTGTTGGAAAGTGATTCTATGAGCATATGAATTAGATGGTCAAAGAATAATTATATAGTATTATTATAGTATTATTATTCTCATTTTATTGTTCTACTGAAAAATTATACCAATCAATTTTTATTTAAAAGTACTATATAAGAAATTTAAGGGAAAAAAAAAGAAATTAGAGTTACTTACTTTTATTAAATATATATCCTTAAAGAAAAAGATAAATTCATATATTTAAATATATTAATGAGCTGGGTGCTTTAACTATTTACAATATTTACATGATTATATAGATTTGGTGTTTTTCTGGTTAAACATATTACTATCTACTTACTTGTATTTATAGTGGATTAACTAAATATATATTGGATTAATATTTAACCTTCTAAACCTTAGAATATTTGACCACTTAAAAAATTGAAATAAGATCTGTCTGGGACTATCTATAATAGAAAATTCTTATTTAACAATATATGTATAAATACGTGTACTGTGCTTAAAGGAGAAAACAATATAACTCTATTAGGATAGTTGATGGTAGGTTGGAGAGAGCTTTTACAAATAGTTAGAATGGCAACAATAACTACAAATGTAAAATCAGGGAAGAAACCTACAACAGCGACATCGTCACCTCTGGGATAGAGATCGATTGATCCATTGTTATTGGTGGAAAAGACAAGTTCCGCCCAAAGTTTATAGGCAGTACAGTCAATGCTTGCCATGATGCAGGAAATGATGGTTAAAAACCCATTAACGACTTAGATAAGGGAATAGAAGGGGAACTTACCAAATTTGCAGATGATACTAAGCTGGCAGGAATAGCTAACACCCAAGAAGATAGGCTCAAGATTCAGGTGGATCTTGACAGACTAGAACACTGGGCCATATCTAACAAAATGAAATTCAATGTAGGGAAAAGTAAAGTCCTACACTTAGGCAAGAAAAACCAAAAGTACACATATAGACTGGGTGAAACCAGGCTCAATAGCAGTAACTGTGAGAGAGCTCTTGGAGTCTTCGTGGACAACCAGCTAAATATGAGCCAGCAGTGTGCAGCAGCCACCAAAACAGCTAATGCAATCCTAAATTGTATTAACAGAGGGATACAGTCAAGATCAAGGGAAGTACTAATACCACTCTATAAAGCCTTAGTAAGACCACACCTAGAGTACTGCATCCAGTTTTGGTCACCACATTATAAAAAAGATGTTGAGGCTCTAGAAAAAGTACAGAGAAGAGCAACCAGGATGATTAGGGAACTGGAGGCTAAAACATATGATAAACAGTTGCAGGAACTGGGCCTGGCTAGTCTAGGGAAGAGAAGGACCAGGGGAGACATGATAGTGGTCTTCCAATATTTGAGGGGCTGCCACAGGGAGGAAGGGGTCAAGCTATTTTCTAAAGCTCCTGTAGGCCAGACAAGGAATAATGGATGGAAACTGAACATGGAAACCTGGAAACAAGG